AGGTTGGCCTTCTTGAGCCGGTCGTTGACCAGCTCCGTGTTGCCCTGCTCCTCCTCCAGCTCCTCCTCCAGCTGGGCGATGCGGGCCTCCAGACGCCGCTTCTCCTCCAGTGCGAGAGCCCTGGGAGCATGGGCAGAGGTGAGGTGGCCACCCCAGACGGGCACACCTGCCCCCACCTCTGCCGCCCACCGGCCTTACCCCTTGCCGCTGCTGTTGGCGATCTTGTCGGCCAGCTCATCCCGCTCCTGCTGGGCCTGGCGCTTGGCACGCTCTGCAGCTGCCAGTTCCTACAGGGAGGACCCAGAGTGTGACCCTCCAGGCAGCCACAGCCCTCTACTCCTGGCCACATGTACAGCTCTACAGCACTGCACCCTACCCTCCCCAAGCCCTGGCGCTTGTCCATCAAACCCTGTATTAGGTTGCCTCCTCCATGAAGCCCTTCTTCTCAACACCCCCCAGGCACCCACGGATGACTCCTCCCTGCAGAGTCATAGTTTAAGCAACACTTATTTACAAAACCCTCCCTCCATCAAAGTGCTAGGAATCAAGCCAGGTGCTACGGCTCTGAAGATAAATAATCCCACCACAGGAGACCCTTGATCCGGGATCTGCTCTGAAGATAAATAATCCCACCACAGAAGACCCTTGACCCAGGGATATGGCACGTGCCTGGCATGTGTGTGATGGACAAGGCAGCCGGGGGGTACGGTTGGTTCATGGCAGGAGATGTTTATCACTTCATGCCAGGACCCCAGGGCCCGGTGCCAAAGTGTCGGCCATACCCTTTAATCACATGAGGGAGCCTTGCCCCATAAAGAGCCAACCCCGGAGGGAGTCCTTCTGAACACCCAGACCCTGCCCAGCTCACTCCTGGAGTCTGGCCAGGTTGTTTCCAGCCCTGCCCTGGTGACGTGGGTGGCCAGGCCAGGAGAAGGGCCTGAGCGTTCTCTGCCCACTGGAGGGCAGCCGCCCAGTGCCCCTGGGGGCCCTGCCCACCTCCTGCAGCTGAATCATCTCGGCCTCCATGCTCTTGAGCTTCTTCTTGTTCTCCTTGGCCTGCGCCAGGATCTCCTCGCGGGAGACGCGTGTGTCGTCCAGCTCG